TTATTACTTATTAACATTGAAATAATTATTTTGTATTAATAAATTAGAATATATTTACCTTTTAAAATATTTTAAACATTAATTTACCAACTCGAGTCGCGAAATGCAATTATAATTATGAACCTTTATTGTAAACTTGATGAAATAGTTCAGTACTAACATCGAAATAATTATCATTAGTAATAAATTCTCTTCTTAATTTGCAAAATTGTAAATTTTTTAGTTTACATTAGCAACTCAAGTCAGGTCCATGAAGTTCACGGACTTACTAAAGTCTCGATCATGTTAATTATGAAAGGAAGAGTAATTCAAATTTTAACATCGAATTCGCGTTAATTAACTTGTATTAATAATTAGCAGAGTTGTTAAAGTCTATCTTGATATAAAAATGTAGTATCTGTATCTGTATCTAGATAGATTTTTTAGAAAGATATCTGTATCTGTATCTAGATATTATTTTAGAGGTATCTGTATCTGTTTTTAGATACTTTTTCAGATACATTTTATATACCCCTTTTTTTTATTATAAATAAAAATATTTGACTGTAAAATTTATTTTATTTCATATGAGCTTATGAAATAAATATATATATATATATATATTATATATTAATATTTATTAATATTATAATAAAGAATTATATATACATAAAATATTAAAACTTATATATAAAAAATATATATAAATATTCATTAATTTAAATATTATGTCCGAGTTTATCAATAAACCATACAAATTTTAATATTACAATATGGAAATGGTAAATTTTATTTTATAACTAAATTTTTAAGTTTATATATTTATTTAGATCTATATCGATGAAGAAGAGGAAGCAACAACAAGTTCTATTGCTTTACCATGGCCAATTTATAGAGAATATTTTAAAATAATATCTCAAAACAAAGAAAACAATTCTCTAATGGTAAAATGTTTGCCGTGTCTACCTAAAAATACAAAAATATCCGTCAGTAAGACTTCAACGTGCAATATCTTGAAGCACATAAGGGTATAGATATTATATATTTAAAATTCTAATTTAAATTTTAAGAGAAAACATCCAACCTTGTTAACAAAAATACAAAAGGGGAAGGAAAATAAAACTACCAAAGAAAATACTGGACAAGGCTCATCCTCCATCAATATTTTTGCTAAAAGACCTTTGACTTTAACTCAAGGCACTTTAGATGATTTAATTATTGCTTTTATTATAGATGGCATGCAGCCATTTTCAATTGTTGAAAATCCTTCTTTTAAAAAAATGATCAACACTTTGGCTCCACACAAAAATATGATTTGCCGACAGACAGTTGTTGGTAGAATTTCCCAAAGATGGGAAAATGAAAAGAAAGAAATAATTAAAAGTCTTATAGAACCATCATTAATATGCACAACAGCAGATTGTTGGAGTGCCTATCGCCGGTATAGTTAACATTTCAATTTGTATAATAATTAATTAAGAATAATTAATTCAGCAATTTTAATAAATTTTAATTTCTAGTTCATATATAGGAGTAACCGCTCATTATATAAATCCAATAAGTTTGGAAAGAAAAAATGTAGCGTTGGCTTGTAAAAGAATGACTGGTAGTCATACATATGATAAAATAGCAAAAAATTTACAAGATATAGCTAAGGATTATTGCATTCAAAATAAAATTTCAAAGACCATTACAGATAATGCCAAAAATTTTAAAAAATGTTTTAGGTTTATTTTATTATAAATAAATATAAACATAATATATGATTGATTACTTAATTTATTAAAGAGTTTTCAAGCCAATTGAAAATAATACAAGTGAATCAATTGATGATCTGGAAGATGAAGCAGTTGTGCCAATTTCTATATCAAATCTTTATAATACTGCACAGGATTCTGAATTATCAGAATCATTTAGTTTACCTCATCACCAATGTTGTGCCAGTCACACATTGAATCTTATAGCCACTGTGGATGCCAATAGAGCCATGCAGTGTAAACAATATCAGAGGGTAAAACTAATTTTAATTAAATAAGTAATATTTTCTTCATTAGATATATAGCACAACACTACTTAAATGCCAAAATATATGGAATAGGCAAAATAAGTCTCCTATTTCATCTGAGATTATTAAGGAATATATTGGTCGTTATTTTATATGTCCTAATATAACTAGATGGAACTCCACCTATAATGCCTTACAATTAATGTCAGAAATTATAAAAGATAAATCTGACAAAGTAGACAAGATATGTGATGGAATAAAACTACCTAGGTTTTTACCTAATGAATGTGATTTTATTCATGAATATTGTTTAGTAAGTTATAAATAATATTTATATATATAGCATTATTTTAAATTAGCTAATGAAGCCAATAGCTAATTCCCTTGATATTTTGCAGGGAGATAAGTATATGTACACAGCTTATTACTGTGCAACTATTTCACAACTTATTATCAAATTAAAGAATTTTAAAGAAATGAACCTGAGATTCTGTTACCACTCTTAGATGCCTTACTTAAAGGGATTGAGGATAGGTAAATTAATATAATAAATTAAAAATATTTAATAATTCTAGGTTTATTGTGACCTTATTTGAAGATGATAATATTATAGCAACCATGCTCCACCCTTTTTTTAAACTTGATTGGACATGGTTGCAAATGGAAGAAAATCTTAATAAAAGAAAACAATTAATACAAAGATTAGCTGGTGAATTATCAAAGTCATCAACTGACTGCAAGCAAATAACCTGCCAAAAAAAAACAAATAATTTAATTTCAGATTTTTTTCAGTACCCTACAGCAGATATAATTTCTAATAATGATTTAAATTTTGATAATCAACAAATTTTAAATAATTTTTTCAAAAATGAATGTAGAGATTTTAGCATTTTTAAAGAATACCCTGATATAAAATTGTTATTTATTAAATATAACACTACAATTCCTTCAAGCGCCCCTGTGGAAAGACTATTTAGTGTTGCTAAAAATGTCTTTACAGATAAACGAGGATGCCTAAATGATCAAAATTTTGAAAATGTTTTATTACTGAAATCTAATAATTATTTATAATTATTTAATCATATATTATCATATATTATATTAAAATCATTATTTTAGTTATATTCTGATAAATGTAATATCGCGTCAATAAATTTTTTAGCTCATTTCATGAATTTTCACAATATAATATTAATTTAGGTTTATGCAAACCTATAAGAGCATAATAAAAAATGTATCTGTATCTTGATAACTTTTTAGACGCTGTATCTGTATCTAGATAACTTTTGAGACTATGTATCTGTATCTGTATCTAGATCCATTTAAAAAGTATCTTTTAACAACTCTGATAATTAGATATAGAATACTTATATTATAAGGTCGGAAAAGTAAATTAATAACTAAATAAAATAATCTGTCTCTGTTTAATAATTTTCACAAAAAATAAGGTATCTGGATATTATTTTTATTCAACTATTTTATGTTAAAATAATCATATCCTATTTTATATTTATAGGAAATTTTAAGAAGTCAAAAAACATTTAATATCTTAAGAAAAAGTGAGATAAATTAAATCGATGTAATTCTATTGTATAAAATTTTCAACCGATTTAATATGCTAAAAACAATTTTGCTATCCCAATCTCACATCCTACATATTATACATCTTTATTTTGTGTTTCAATTAATTATCATTTATTAAAAAATTTAATGAACTCACCTACCTACACCCTTTTCTTTTTGGAAAGGATAATAACTATTTTTAATTAATAAAAGATACATTTAAAATAATTCACTTATCGTAAGTAGGTTTTTTTATATTTTTAATTTTAATATGTGGATCTTAGAAAATCACAAAAATATCAAAATCTCAATATTTTAATATCGTTGCTTAAAATTTTTTTAAAATAAAGAATTTTAGTATCTTTGAAGATTTTTTTTATTTTTATCAAATGCATATCTCTGGTAATACACCTAGCTTGATCGAAATATAGGGGCGTCATAACCTCTACAATCTCAGGGGGCTCAAAATTTTTTTAAAAAATTACCTTTTTTAATAGCTAACATTATTAAAATTGCCTCGTTTTAGTTATATATAATTATCAAAATTAAATAACATTGGGTATTAAAAAGTTCCAAATTTTGATACAACTCTTCAAGGAGGTTATAGCCTCCCCCCTTTAGTGACGCTACTGTCGAAATAGGTACAATTTAAGCTCAACGTTTCCTTCCTATGAAAACTGTTTTAAGTTTTCTTCATTTGAATTGAGATAGTTATTGGAAAGCATTTTTTTCCAAACTCATCAGCATGCTTTAAAAGGATTAAGAAATCCTTAAAACATATGTTCTTAAATCGATATAATGTATTTCTTCTAAAAGTATAACTAAATTATTTTAGTCAAAACTATTGCTTTACAATATTCTTGCTAACAAGATCGATCTGTGTCAGAACATCATACCAAATAGCCAGAATAACTTAAAAGAGAAACTCTTATGGACAAAGAAACCGCCCCAATGCTACATTTTTGGCCTTTTGTTGTTTATGAAATATCTTCTAAAGCATCATAAATCTAAAAATATTAATTACTAATTAGTGATTATCTAATATTTGTAAAAAAAATACGGCCTTAAAATTTGCAAAGATTCGGAGGCTAAGAGCGTTCCTAGGTTGCCACCTCTAAGTATGACCCCTGTTGGACATTATAGTTTATATGCATTCTTTTTAATTATGTTGTTAATAATCAACGTAAGAACGTAATATCATTCAAAATATTTATTTAAATTTTCTAAATTGTAAATTAATTATTAATATTTTAATTTAAAATGAGCACACTAACTAGCATTGCTAAAGGGTTCCATTTTTCAAAAATGGCTAAACCAATATTTTAGCGAGAAAAAATATGCAAGTCTCAAAATTACGTTATTTCTGACACATAGGGAGATAAATCTCCAGGTTTGAGTAATATTTTTTTTAGCTAAAATATTGGGTTAATTATTTTAAAAATCGAACCGTGGAGCAACCACTAACCCTAACATAAAAGCTATAAAAATAATTATCACGCTAATTTAAAACTAGTTGATTGGTTTAAATACTGTATCATTTCCGTGAAAGAATAATATACTTTTTTTTTCATTTACAATATACTTTCGTCGTTAAATAGATACACATTTATATTACAATTAAAAATAAAAATGTCGAATTTTATTGAGTCTTTTTCTTAACCTCGGCACAATCGAGACGCCCTCTGAGAACTTTGTGCTTGACTCCGGGCACATCCTTTAATCTACCACCTCGGATGAGAACCACGTTGTGTTCCTGTAGATTATGGCCTTCCCCGGGAACGTGGGCTATAATTTCCCGGCCAGTCTGAATTATCCGCACTTTAACGCACTTCCGATTGGCCGAATTAGGCTTTTTCGGCTTTTTGATTATGGGTTTTATCACTATGGCTTTGAGAAAAGGTTTCCCCAGCATAGGGCGTTCGTTGAAGGGTTTAGGAGGTTTGATCGGTGGTCCATGCCTATGCATCCATTCTAGAGAGGCCATGGGTCGTGCTTGAAAACGAAATAACGGATTTGTGGGCATAAATTTGGCACATTTTTTGATATCGGTGATATATTTTGAAAAGCATAGGTTGCGAGAAGCTGTCGTAGGGTCACATTTGACCTTACAAATTATGTTTAGTAAAGTTTTAGCGATTTTATTTGTTTGTGTGGCTATAAAATAAATTGTTAAAAAAATACAACTTTAATAAGGATATTTAAAAAAATATGTTTGGGAACGATGCTGTATTGTCATAATTTATTTTAAATATTAATAACATACTTATAAATTAATTAATAGGGTATAAAGCAGGGGAACCGTTTGCCTTTTACAAAAAGTCTATAAATTTTTTAAACTTTATATTCATATATAATTTATCGGAGAAGCAGTTCGCCCCAATATTTCTCTTTGGAGGGCTGCCCACTTTTCCCGGCCTTCGGGCTAGTTTTATATGCATTGATTTATATATTCCGTTATATAATTAATTATAATATACTTGCAATCGCAAATCAAAATTATTATTTAACATAAATGTTGAATCTAAACTCGAATGCTTTACCCTCATAACCAGTATAAAATCCTCAAATAACCCCAATCTAAAAGCTATTTTTCTTAAACAAAAAAAAAATTAGAAAAAAATATTATATCAAATTTATCTTTGATTCGAATTTTTTCCCCAAAATAAAAAAGCGGATAATTCAATAATTTATTAAGCAAAGCTTTTGTACACTCAAAAATCAGAGCAAAAAATAAGTAAATTATAGATAGATTATTTAACTTATAATATTTTTGATTATGCTTAAGACGAAAGAGATATAATAATTTAATGCCATAAGGGGAAATTAAAAATATAAAATTTTGTAGGAAAGCTATTTATAAATAAAATATTAGTGCATTATTTTAAATAGGTTGCTAATTTTTAATAAACTAAGTGTTAATTTTTAATAAACTAGGTGTTAATTTTTTAAAAAATAGGGTGGTAATCCAATTTTCAAAGTTGATGTTAATTTTGAAAAGGGGTGCTTTAGCGCCCTATCTAACGATGTCCTGAGTAACAAGGTTAAAATCTAACAAATACCTTAACTAATATATCTAGTGTTGTTAAATGTCTAGATTTACGTGATTTAAATTAAGATTTTAGCAAAAATAATATTATCCAAGCTTTATGATTTTATTAATAAATGTCCACACTTTTTGCCACCTATGAAGATCTCTAGGTTTGCGTAGTATTTTTTGGCGAAATCTACTATAGGTTATCTGTTTTTAAAATCATCCGTTTAACAAGACTAAATATATTCGAACCTACTTTATACACACCAGATCATCAAACACCTTGAGGACAGGGTAAAAGTACTTACTTCATAGTAAACCAGGATAAACCAATTAAAAAAATTTCCAAAGACCAGTTAAGAAGGTTAGATATTATAAATTTAATCAGAAATAGGATATAAATATAAATTTATTCAATAGCTATAAACTAGCAAACATGCAATATTAGAATACTGTAAGCATCTTTTTTTGGGTAACGCTAAGCCAAATTCATAGGGTGGAGTCTAGCTCAATTTATTATTTTTAGACTAAAGACTGGCTAAAAAATTTTAATTAAAAAATTATATGTATTAAACACATTTTTATAACAAGTTAAATAAATAATGGTAATGTATTAATACCAGAGTTCCATATTAGCCCATAGTTTCTTTAAAACTGAGCCTATTCCATTTATTAAAATTTAATTTCCAGCGAGTCTGGTTTCATAACAATTTGCAGAGCTCCATAGATTAAAGGTCTGCAATAGGACTCATTGTTTTATTTTTTTTAGCCTGCCTACCCATTTATGTTTTTTTCTAAATTAACCCCCCCCCCTTGCAAACTAATTTAACTAAATATTTGTTTAACAGCCCAATGTTTAAAAACTATTTTAAGGTTTGGCCCATTATTGATTTATAATTTTATAAAATAGACAATATTATGAAATAAAAAAATGATTTTTATAAATAGAAGTCTTTTCAACTCATTTTGCCCAAAAAATATTTAAAATTCACCCACCTATCATTTAAAAAAATGTTATTTAACCCACCCACCATCCATCCAAGAAAATATTTTAAAAAGCCCATCAATTGCAGACCTCTACAATAGACTGTATAATACTACCATAGCAAATTCAATTTTCTTCTAGCCTGAGAATAAGCTCAGATAGTGATCTGCTTAGGGCCTAATTTTTTAAGACTGACCCAGCCCAAAATCTTTAAAAAAAATTTGTCCTGCCCAGCCAAATATTAAACAAATTTTTTTTTATTTATTTTGAAGAGTTTGACTTGAAAAAAAAATTATTTGTCCATCAAGCCCAAATTTATTTAATTTATTGCAAAAAATATTCTATAAAAAAATATTATTGCTTTGTTTCTTGCAAGGACTTTAAAATATCAATTTATTTGACAAAATGTGATATACTTAAAAATTTAAGTATGAACCACCCAGTAACAAATTTTTTAAAAAATATTTACAACCCAGCCCAAACTTAAATATTTTTCAAAAATAGACCTTAGCTATGGGTTGGGTATGGGTTCAGATCTCTAAGCCGAGCCCCAATTTATTTCAAAACTTCCTAGCCTAAATTTGGACATTCAACTTTTAGAGCTCAAATATGAGATAACATTTGATAGTATTAATTATGTACCAAATCCTTGATCACATCCCTAGATCTTCCTAGGTTAGATCTGGTTGGTATTATTAAAATAGATAATTCTTATTACATTGCTTTTATAAATATAATGAACAAATATATTTTATGATATAAAAATAATCCAAGAAAATATAAAAAAAGTTAATATTCTTTTATTTAAGTCTAAGAAATTAAAAAGGTTAATATTTATTTTTAAAAAAAACCTGTTAATTTCATTAATATGCTATAAAATTCTGAAGTTGGTGAAATTCAGCTGACAGTTTAGGTAAGGCAATATTGTTCAAAATTTTATTATAGGCTGGGAAGTTTTAAAAATGTTTTTATGACAATTAGACAAATTTATGTTGTTTTCCATTATTATGGGTCATGCAAGACAACTTGTAAAAAATGTATTTTACAGGCAACCAGGTAAAGGTAATTATAGGCCAATTTTTTTAAAGAAACCAGGATAGTTCTGATCTGGGTACCCACTAATTCACATTAAGCCATTATAAATCGTCCTAGATTAATAAAATAAAGAAATATAAAAAAGACATTGAATATTGTTATCTATATTTATTCTTCGCAAATGAATGCTGTTAAATATACATGAATAAGTATTCAATATTTTATCCAAAATATTTATCAAAATACATAATTTTTTTTAAATAAGGTATAATAGATTCAAAAATATAGGTTGATATATATTATGTGATATTTTATTTGTAATTTTTTTATTTGCTAATAAACTTATAATCTGAAAAAAATACCTTCAAAAAATTATGCTTATATTGTATAGTAATAAAATTTTCAATATATGACTATGGCAAACTTTATGTTTAATATGCTATTAATTATATCATAAATAATATAATATTTTAAGATAAAATATATTAATTGTAAAATAGCAATTGTATGTTTGTTTTTTTTTAAAAAAACCTGAAAACATGAATTAATTGTACAAAAGAATTCAAATTAATTGACATTTTCTTGTACGACAGGTTTACAAAATAAATGGATTATAAAAATAATTAAGCTCTGATGAAATATTCAATTGCTAATATATAGTAGGTCTATAATTGAAGTACTCCACTTGCCCAAATAATAAAATGAGAAAATCAAAATTAAAGTTTTAAGCAATGATATTATCATTGGTTTTAGGTCAAATATTGGAAAAATTTCTCGATCAATTAATTAAAAATTTAAGAGATTATTTATTATAATAATAATAAATTATAGCTAAAATTTTTGCTGCAAAATATTTTATATAAAATTTATTTGATAAAATTAAAATTCAAGTGAAGTAAATATAACATTTTATGATTTTTTTATATGTTCAAAATGCTAAGGGGCGTGGCTAGCCTTCAATCTCAGGGGGATCAAATAAATTTTATATGGGGGGCAAAGCATACTCGACAATTTTCGGGCCTTCGGATGGGTTTTATATTAATATATTACACTTTCTTAAAATTTGCTAACTCTAAACAATTATTCTGAATTTCATATTTTGTCATTTATTATATTTTTCAAACAAAATAAACTAGCATATAAATAATGAAACATATCTAAAAATAATTTTTTTTTAAATACAAAATCTATTTATTACAGTAGACAATGTTTTATAGAATGGACTAATAAGAAGAAATTTATAGGCCTTACCAAATCATCAATTCTTGAAGAAGAGAATATAAATGACCAATCCTAATCATAAAACTATATGGTGGTTAGAGCTTCCTCTTAGATAACATGAAGGAAGCTAGCTAAGTAATCGAGAAAATTATTGTGAGATATTAAATTTCTAAAAGATTATCTTCCATTTAAAATAGTATATAAACGACTACACAGTTGATCATTATTGTTTATCTAAATATGCAATCATATGCTCTTACCCGTTGTTGTAATGTAATATTTAAATTACGTTGTAACACAAATAATAGATTCTGGCTAATTTGCAGTAATAGCCATGACACTCACGATGTTAGCTAATATCAGAATATATTATGTTGGATAAATTGATAAAATAAAAACCTAAAACCTTTGGAAGAAATAATTATGCAAATATATTTTAAGCCTGGAGTTATTTACAAGGCAATGCCACATTAGAAATGACATTTTCTAACTATAAAATAAAGACCAGAATGATATGATGAAACAATTAAGATTTTATATATTGTCGCACCCCCTTGGTATATTATATCTTAAAATAATAGTAGTTTGTAATAATATCAAAAATATACTTGTATTCAAAACTGTTTTTCGAAAAAAGAAAAAAAATTGTTTTCCTAAAAACACGTAAAAAAAGAGAAGAAAAGATAACAAATTTATTACATCTATTGCAGGATGAATAATAAAATGTTTATTTTTAAAAATAACTAAAAGATGGCGTTAAATTCTCGAAAGAAAATTGTTACTATATCTATTATCAAAACCATTTATTATTAAAAAATTAACTGTAATATATTATACAACTGTCAAATATGTATATAAAAGGGGCATTTTATCTAATATTATATAAACAACTGTATATAATAGAGGATTATAAACTATATGTCTACTTAGTTTTATAAAGATTGGACCTTGAAAATATTTTTAGGAATAGGTATGATAATTAAATTTAAAAATAAATATACAGTTGATTAGTCATTTTGAACTAAGCTAATTACAATATTAAATTTGCAAATTTTCAAATAATATATGATTATATTTTTTTAATTAGGATTATTTAATAATTTAAATAATAAAAGTCAATTAAACTTTAACGGTTAAAGCTAAATTAATATTTGGTGAGTTATAGATATTATATTTTTAATACAGAATTTGATTGCAAGCTGACATAGTGAAAATATAATTTATATGTATTAATCTAATTTAATAATTAAAATAGTATTCATTTAATAAAAATTTAAATAGTTTTATTAATTTCTAAATAATAAAATTAGATATATATATTACTCAATGGAATTATACATTCAGGGGGCAATCAAAAAAATTTTTTTTTTGTTCAAGGGGATATTAAAGAGCCATTAAAAAAAAAATTTTACTTCAGGGGGCTATTCAAATTTTTTAGGGGCCTCGAGCCCCTGCGCCCCTCCCCTCCCCCTTTCGACGCCTCTGGCAGTTATAGCCATAACACACGATTTAAACTCATATCAGAATTATATTAGATAAATTGTTAAAACAAAAACGCTACTAATCTTTAGAAGAAATTATGCAAATATATTGAAGCCATAAGTTGTTTACACGGCAAGGATGCCTTAGAAGTGAAACATTTTGTAACTATTAAATAATAACCTGAGTGATATGATGAAAGCAATTAAGATTATATATATTATTTAAAACAAACCAATAAAACAATCCATATTTATTCATAATTATATTTATCTATCCATTAAATATACAAATTATAAATAAATAATAATTATCCAGCTCATATATTCTTTATCCCATAGGTCCATTCTTTGTTCCTCCTAGCTGACATCTTCTCCAATTAATCCAATATCTTCACTCCAAAATAGCTAACAAAGGACTCTTTAAAAACCAACCATGTGATGATCACGTTTTTCCCCCATCCACCAGGAAAACTTAATTCCCCTGTCAGAAAATAACTGACATTTGATGTATTAAATTAAATTTATTTCTTCTTTTTTTAACAGCTACAACACGCCCACCTCACAAGCCCAGCGTCCCTCTCTCTGTGGTTGTGTTGTATCGAATCGTCCTTTGAATTGTATCGAATCGCCCCTTTTGTATCGGGACGCCTTGAAGACGTTCAGGGAATTTATCGAATCGTCTCCCCTTATGATGATTTATAATATAATATCTCCGATATATTTCAATATATAATCGCGAAAACACATATTATCAATAATGACATGTACATTGGGGTATCTGCATTTATAATCTATGGAACATTAATATGGACAATGTAATATCAGCAAAACATAATAATTCATTCATTTTAAGACATTTGAGAAATAGGATCCATAATATACATCATTAGGGTATGATTAATGGTAATTAGGAAATAATGATCTTACATATAACTGTAATGTGAACTCATTGTCTATGTGTGAAATGCAATTTCAACACATGTAATTGTCCTTCTGTCATGTAAACAAAATCAAAGCTACATTTTTATAAATATCTCCTAAAATAGATATAAAAATCAATTTTTAGGTATTAAAAATAATGAAAATTTGCCGAACAAAGATTTTAAATAAAATTACACGACATATGTATAGAAATAAATTTAATATTTTATAAGGAGGAAAAATATATAATGTGTAGAAAATACAATATTTTCCATCTAGGAATTACTCAGTATCCTAAGAAAAATATACCATTTCTACCTACCTCTGCCATCACAATGAGCACAAATTCACAAAAATGTAGAATGCAACGTAACAAAAATTGAGAATATAATGGGCTATATGGTATATATGAAGAATTTTTAATACACCTTCACAATATAAAATAATTTGAGGCTTTTCTTTAAAAAAAATGTTCATAAAATAAATAGTAATATGTGATGTGCTATAAAATAATTACAAAGATAAAAAAAATGTAATATGCATCAAAAATTTACAAAAAAAAATTTACACAAAAAAAACTTTCTCCAGTATGCAAACTAAACAATATTCTCACCTCAAGGCATACCCATCAACATGGCTGACCTTGTCTGTAAAAATATTTTCCCTTCACATCATTAAAAATAATATAATTGCAAATAAAACTTTTTATAAAGTTTTATAATTAAAAAAAAATATACATATATTAAATATAGAGATTTCATAATTTTTAAAAAAAAATATTACACATCATCTAATATATCATATAAATTCCTAACCAATTTATATATATCAAATGCAGACACTAAATCAAAATAACTATCCACCTATAACATTATAGATATTATTCTGACTCCCACATACTTCAATTCCTTTAAATTATTATTCATAATTAAATATATCATATGTGTAATTCACATTACACCCTATTTCATAAAAATGGTTAATTACTTCAAAACAAACAACAATAACTCACCCTCACACTTAATAATATATCAACCTTAATTGAAACTGAATTACATATACAATATTTTAACATTAATTAATAATAAATTATCCCACACATATCCATCCCTTTAAAAACCCAAAATGCTTAATTATATAATACACACCTTATTACAAAGTCTATTTCCATATATATTTTCCTAAATTTCAAATATTTAGCAATCCTTTCTGTCCTGCTGATCTTGAGGTCTTAGCTTCCTATGACGGAATACCTATAACACCATTCAATGAGTTTTAAGGCATACCAAATAAGAATCAAAATTGCATGTACAATATACATCTAGACATATAATATACCAAATATTACTGTCTTAAATTCCTGATATTATTTTCATATTCCTGCCTAATACTCATTACATACTTTCTATCTTAAGCCTTTTAAGTTAAATATTTAATATGAAATTAGAGAAACCCTTAAACTCACCTCTTAATCTCACCTTTTCCTTGTATAGTTTCTAGTATTTGTGTTGTGGTTTCACAGTAAAATTCAAAATCACATGAAAAAAAAATGGTTCTTACCTTTTTATAACAAATAACTCTTGAATCTCCACGTTCTGTACATGCATCACTTTCTGATCCTTCATTGCATTGTGTTCCGCATTAATCCCTAGATAAATCCTGTCGACGGCAACAATAAAACAAATCAATAAAACAATCCATATTTATTAATAATTATATTTATCTATCCATTAAAAAAAAATATACAAATTATAAATAAATAATAATTATCCAGCTCATATATTCTTCATCCCATAGGTCCATTCTTTGTTCCTCCCAGCTAACATCTTCTCCAATTAATCCAATATCTTCACTCCGAAATAGCTAACAAAGGACTCTTTAAAAACCAACCATGTGATGATCACGTTTTTCCCTCATCCACCAGGAAAACTTAATTCCCCTGTCAGAAAATAACTGACATTTGATGTATTAAATTAAATTT